AAAGGGACAAGGAATTACCCATATTTATATTTATTAGTTCAAACCAATGTCTCTCAACTGTTTTTTCTTTTGACTTCAGATATGAAAAGGATGTGCAGTTATTCAAAAGCAAAGTGGTGGATAGTGTAAAACTATGCAACAGTCATCTTTTCGACCAGCCCAAGATAGATGATCCCTACGCAATAAGGTTTGTAAACTGTCCTCATTTTGTGTGTGTGTGTGTGTGTGTGTGTAATGCTCTCACACTCACAGCGCCACTCTTGTTTACTTAGCTTTTCTCCATGGAACCCAGCTGTTCATGAGGAAGCAAAAGAGCGGATGTTCACATATAAAGTAAGTATTCTTTCTAGGTTTATTTATCTATAAAGCACTTTAAATGGGTTTACAAAACAATTTACCACTAAAATAAAACAAGAACATTCATAAAAAAAAATGTGAAAAGATATTTATAAATCAACATTGGAATAACAGTATATTCTGCAAGAGGAGCAGAAGTATACAAATCAAATGTTTTTACATACATTCTGGAAAAGCAGGAAGGTTTGGGGCCTTAAAACAACTTTTGATAGGGATTTGAAGAGTGCAGTCTGAGCATTTTTCTTTTAACCAAATACATACAATACAAACACATAAAAGGAATTTGCATTGGTATAAATGGTGCATACAAAGACACAGAAAGAAGAATACATAGCAAAAAGGAGTTCTATTATAGAAGCTATTGTAACAAATACAAAAATAAAGACAATATTTACCCAAAATATAAATATGTGAGGATCTGAGTACAGTCAAATATGACTACTCTCAAAGTGGAGAGCTGATTTTAGATTGTGATTGTTCCTGCTGTTCCTGAACTGCTCATCTGCCTTTGTCCCTGTAGAGACGGCCTGACGATCACCACAAGGGCGCGCAGGTGTCGGGTCTGTCCTGGGTGAAGCCCGGCTCCACGCAGCCCTTCAGCAAAGACGACGGTCCTCCTCCGAGCTGAAGCTGCCACCAGAGGGAGCCACACGCATGAGATGCCACGCCACGCCACCGGCTTACCTCTGCTGTTCATGGGACCTCGCGACAGTTGGGAGAACTTTCTGTTAAACCTCCACGTTATTGCTCCGCGTTAAAAGCTTCGTAGGCATCTCCTCAAACAGCTTTAGAATAAGGAAACAAAGTTTGTATTATATGTAAATCGGCAAAGGCAAATGGATGTCTCGGCAACATCATTTAGGCTGCGATGCAATCAAAGAGCTTTCTCATTTTTAGATTTTCAGATCCATGCACATGTTGGGCTAGGCGATACAACATACTGTCCCAAAAAGGAGCTGAAAAGTACGAGTAAAGCGTTCAAGTAGAGTGGACTCCGTGATCTCCTCCACTGGCTCAGGACTGTTTATTTGTCAGACTTGGAATGTTGTCAGTCACAGCTGTGTGAATGAAATGCCCTAATTACCACCCCCTCCTGTCACCCAATTAGATCTACACGATATGTTTTATAATTGTTTCTTATTGGACATCGATTTCTTCTTAATCCCACTGTGTAAGCAATTGTCTTACATAGCTTCCTAATATATAAATATATAAAGCAGAGCAGGCCACCTATGGGTTTGAAATGAGATGCTAGATAAAGTAAGCTCATGTATTTTATTTTGTCTGATTTTTTTTGAATGTTTTATGTACCTTGTTGGCTGTTGGTTATTAAAGGTGTGATGTGTAAATAATGGATGCTGTGATGAGCATAGAGACCTTTCTGCTTGGATTTTCTTTGGGTTTTCTTTGCAAATATTAAGCTTCCTAACAGATCGTTGTGTCATAACAATACATAAGTTACTGCCTGTGTCCCACCAGATTCCCACATGAAGGAAAAGGATACATATATATTGGTATTCTGTCCAACTACAAGATAACACGTTTTCTGTTGTGTCGGACAAATGTCTTATTTAATGTCTTCATCTGTAGAGGGCTCTTGCTTCATTTGTGGTAATATTGCCCAGCTCCTTTCAATATGCAAATAATAGAAAGCTAAGAATGTAGGAAAAGGATAGGATTTTTAATGAGGATGTGGCTATACAAGATAAGCAGACATGGTGCTGAAACCTTACTACGAACTGATCTATTTATAGCGTCTGCGTAAGGACAGGGTGTAACCAAATGTCAGTGAACTCCACACACTGACATTTTGGCTGATGGCATCTTCAAACGTGTGAGTTGTAATGTGTTCAATATGGACTCCAGTTTGTAAAACACATTACTGCATAGATATGGGTTTAAAATGCTTTTCTCTGAAATCAATAAAATTGTAAAAAACGAAGTCTTGTTTTTGATGTTGAAGGTACCGCACATTGGGAGGGATCATCATACATGTTTTACTTGTCTGTATGTAAAGAAGGTGATGCAGAGCAAGCATATTTTACAGAGCTTTCTGGAAATTAAGATCTTGTTTGTAAAAGTGTTTTTCCCTGCAATAGTGATAAACTCCCAATCAGATGCTATTCATACAAATCACTCAAACATGCTCTGATCATTGTGGTGGAGGGGGCTATGTACAAACATTTTTTTATTTCAACGTAGTACATTGGTACATGATCTTAATCTACTAAAATCAGTTTGTCACTCCTGTCACAGAATCATGTTCAACCATATCACACAATTACCTTAAAAAAAAGGTACACAGGTTAATACATTTAGGGAAGCACCAGGACATGATGCCACCAGTTAGCCAACAAGCCATGCCAGTGCACAGTCAGCAGATGGGTCACTACCATAGACTGTATATATAAAGGTCACTACGTATCACTCCAGTTCTGAGGGCTTAACACTGCCTCTCTGTCAAAGAATTCATTTAAAAAATACTGCTGCTGGTTTATAAAGCATTGATTCACATGTGTCAAACTCAAGGCCCGGGGGCCAAATCAGGCCCTTGATGGATTTAATTTTGGCCCGCAGGGTAATTTCTAATTACTATTAGATCTGGCGCTCCGGTATATTGCACGCACACCTTCACTCAATCCTGAGGAGTTCCTCAGCTCAGAGCCTGACCCCAAACATTGATGAACTTGCACCCAAGATGAGATGCCAAGTATCTGGCTTGAACTAGCATCACAGAGCAGCAAACTGAGTTTCAATGGATGTTTCCTTCTGCACTTTTCTTCTTGCGACAGCAGGGCATGTTTGGTTTTTCTTTGAGGGAAATTGTTTTTTTGAAGCTGTTGTTGGCCTGTGGAAAAATGTAATCATAAGAAATGACCCCGGAAAAGCTGCAGATAGAGCCATAAGAAATGAATGCAACTGATTATTTAATGTTTAATGTTGTTTTTACAGGCAATCATTTAAGCTTTGTTAGTTCCAGGTTTAATATGTGCAATAAGTTCATTTCAATAAGTTTTGCAATAAACATTGAACCAGTCCGGCCCTCCACTAGTACCGATTTTTTAAATGTTGGCCCACTGAGATTTGAGTTTGACACCCCTGCATTGAATGGTTTAGGGCCAAAATATATTTCTGATCTCCTGCTAAATTATGAACCATCCAGATCTCTCAGGTCTTCTGTTCTGCTTTCCACTGAGTCAGAACTAAACATGGAGAAGCAGCGTTCAGTTATTATGCTCCAAATATCTGGAACAAACTCCCAGAAACCTGCAGGTCCGCTGCAACTCTGACTACTTTTAAATCCAGGCTGAAGACTTTTCTTTTTGCCGCTGCTTGTAATTGAGCTGTTCATATATTACTTTGCACTGTAACTTTTAGTCATGTATTTCATATCTGTGTTATTCTATATTAGCTTGTTTTATGTTTATTCAATTAAATGCAATTTTATAATGTGTTTCCGCTGCACTATTTCTTAATGCTTTTAATGTCTTTCATTGTTGTAAAGCACTTTGAATTGCCTTGTGTTGAAAGGTGCTGCATAAATAAACGTGCCTTGCCTTGCCTTACATATTTTTTGTATTATACTGTGCACTCAGAATCAGAAATCCTTTATTGAGACAGGATAGGAAAAGATGAGCCAAACCCTTATAAATCAGGTGTCATAGCAGCAAAAGCAATAAGAGTGAAACACATAATAGGAAGAAGGGTAAGCGATAACACAAGGATGATTATCATAATAATATTTTTTTTAAATAGGCTTGTACCTTTAGATATTTATATGTTAAATAAGTATATAAACATGTCAATGTGGAAGTCTTACAGTGGGGGAATTTACAGTTTACTGCAAAGGGACAGTCCAGATACAATGGCAAAAATAAAGTTAGTAGACAAACGTATTAAATAAAAAGGCAAGGACATGTTTTTGATGATAAAAAATATTCGATCAAATAAAATACACTATTTTAACACAATAGATAAGTATAGTTCAAATTAGAATACTCCACACTAACTCTTTTAAAATCTGCACAGCTCTCCACTTAGAACATATATATATATATTATTATAATTTGTATTGATTAACTACATACTTGTATTTTTTGTAAATATACTCTTTATTATTTTTTATATCTTTTTTTATAATAAAAACATGTTTTGCTCCTTTCTGTTTCTTTGTATATACCATTTACACCAAAGCAAATTACCAAGTGTAAACCTACTTGGTAATAACATCGATTTTGATTCTGAATCTGATTTAGAGAAGCATGTCTCTCAGTCAGCCACTAGAGGTTGGTATTGCCCCACAGTGGAGAGCAGCTGTCATGCTTGCATCGAGGAGACACTCCGGTGCATGTGCGAAAGTAAAACCTCTCCTGATTGGCTCTGGCTTGGACGCGGCCATCTTATGCACTCTGTCAACATAGGGACTTTACGCGTGAAACCATGATTTAATCAAACACTTTCTGTGGCTAATTTGGAGCTGGACCCTACCAAAACGTGAGTGAGGCTGGAACCGCTTTTTAATTCCAAACAGAAAGGTGAAAAAGTGCCAAATTGTCCGTGGACCAATCAGAGAGGAGGTTACTAATATGCAAATGCATGTTATCACAGGCACGTCAGCAGCAGCAGCGGTGGAGAGCCGCTGCGCCGTGGTCGCCAGCAGGAGTACAACTAACAACACAGTCACAAGTTGGCCGAAAACACACTCTCTACATTGGCGACTGGAGTTGTCTTTTGGGGTCCATTTCAGGTAAGAAACAACACTTGTTCGTGTGATTTTTCAGAGAGGTTTCTTCCTCGAGGGGTTCAATTTCATTCAGAAAATAAGCTGTCAAATAGCTGACAGTCAGTGCCTCGCCTCAGCTGTCTGATGACACAACGCCTTGTGTGTCAGTGCGTATCTTCCCGGTACAAATAACTCCATTACTTGCCAAACACTTAGTTTCCTGTTAGTTTGCATGCTAAACAGCACATGTCTTGGTACTTTCTCGTAGTTTTTTGGGTTAAATGTTAATGCGCGTCGTTATAAAGTAGTCCTCCGGGGTTCCTTTTGCTCATGGTGGTCCTGAACTGACAGCGACCACTTATATGTGGACTGTTAACAAGGCTAAAACGTCGACATTTCCACTCGCAAAGGGGAAAAAAAAGATAGTTAAGGATAAAAAAAACTAGTTGAATTATCATGGACACCATCACGGTCGACCTCTCCATCCATCCCCTCCTCCCCCTCCTCCTCTTCCTCAGTGTGGGAGCGTCACGACACCTTTTTGAATCCTGTGCTTTTCCAAAGTGGAGGTTTGGCTAACGCCACGTGCGAGCAACTCAACAGTCCGCCGGCTAGCAATTTCTAAAATAAAAAGTCCCATTTAGCAGTATTAATTTAAGCAGTTTTGCCTAAAGAAGCGCAACACATTGCCGCCTCGTTGGCTTATCAAACAGTCAGAGCTGGAGCCATTGCTGGGCTGAAGAAGATGAGGAGACTTCAGAGGTGAGCCCGGTGACTGTTGGATGAAACACAGACTCCTTATCAAACTTAGCTAAGCTTTTAAAACACGACAAAGTGTTCCTGGGTGTTAAATGGTACCATTTAAAACCTTTGAAAGAGACTTAATTAGGCCTACACAACTAATTTCGTCTTCAGTCACTTTCTTCCCAACATGGCTAACTTTGCACATGCACATTTGGATAAGATGGTCGCCATTTTTAGGTTGTTCACAATAATCAATTGTTATGTAATTCACAACTTCTTAGTTAATTTGCAATTCCCTTCAAATCAGAATTGGTTTTATTACCAAGTAGGTTTACACCTTTGCTGTAAATGGTGCATACAAAGACACAAAAAGAAGACTAGATTTGTTTTTCCAAAGAAAGGAGCAACAAATAGTACTATTATAAAATATATTTTAAAGACTATTGTAACAATTTAAACATTGTGAGTTTTACATTTTGTATTCAACTGTTACCTACACACATTTCGAACCACTGCATTTTTGAGTGATACACAGTAATACAATTTTACCCCATGCCATATTGAGGTTTACGAAATACATTTGCTCTATTCTGTGTTATAACCTTCTGCATTAGAATGCCTGTATTTAGGTTGCCTACTCAAATGTTCCTTAATTCATAAGCAATATGTGGCTAATAAATGGCTTTTATTGTCAAAAATGTACTTACACAATGATTCCAATGAATAACAGAGGTACGCTTACGTTGACATTTGTAGTTTCATGATTAATTGGTGACCTGGGACAGTTATGTGCAAAATTGTATTGATATAAGGCATGAGTTGCACGTGCCTGTATGCTGCTTACAACGTCACGATTGTGAAGGAAACAGCTGGAAGGCAAAGCGTAGGAAGTGACAGGTCATGGGTCAGATTGAGGGTGTTTTAAGGTTAGCTGGGTTTTGTTTAGCAGCCTCAGGGATATTCTGCAGTGATTCTTTGCAGATGGGAAAGATTAAACAAACTTGGATATTTTTGAACCCATTTCACTACAGTTTTCATGTTGTACGTACCGCTTTACAGTTTCTGCTGTAAATCCAGCGTAAATGAACTGCTTACTTAAATATTGATATTGGGCTTAATGAATAGAATATGAGTAATTGACTGATTAGCTTTTCAACATGTGTTTTGTCTCAGACTTACTTTGAATGTCACCAATATATGTTTTGGAAATCATTTCAAATGACACAAATTAGTTTAATTCTAACCACATGTTTTTCCCAGTTCATTAAAGGACAGAAGCACATTTGATTTATTGCCATGTGATCCCTAATGATAAGTACCCAATGTAAAGTATTATTATAATCATCAGAAACCTAAGTATTTGCGCACAAATATTTTCAATTCTGACATGATTCAATAATCACTTAGTATCTGGGGAAAGTTTTCTGTTGTGCTTCAATCGTGAGGATGTGAAAATTACACCCATGTTCCTCTTTGAAGTCCTCAGTATTGTCTCTCATCCCAGACAGTGATTTCACATGCCTTCAGCTTACAGTGTGAGACAAATTATCATGATGACTATGAAGAGAAAGGAGTCCAAAGAAGCTTGACTAATTAAACATGCAGAAATGTGTCATTTGAGGACTGTCGCATGATTCTCCGAAAAGCATGATAGTAAACAAAAGCAATAAAGTGAAACTGAAATGTGGACGCACAACCCACATTGACAATGCAGGCCTAATGTCTTTGTGAACAGATTTGTATCGGGACCTGTGAAGTGGTTGGTGGGTAAAGTGATAGAAACCAGAGAGGAAGATGTACAGTAAGCATTGGAATTGATTGACAATTTTCTTACACTTCTGTTTCTTTAGTTTAAGATTTAGCATTGGTTTAGTCTTCATGTTTGGGTGAGGGTTTGAGTCATTTGAAACACTCTCATACACTCTAAATGGATTGCTGGAATAAATAACCTTGCGTTCCAAATATATTGAGCAATGTTAGTGACTTTACACACAGTCAATATCACCTTCTAATGCCTAACCCACATGTTGGAAAGTGGCCAATTAGTCATAATTCAGTGTAATAACTCAGGCATGGTTCTTCTGTTCGTCAAATGGGAGAATCCTGACAATATTAGCATTTTCAAACTTGCTTGCAGATTGTACGATTACATCGCTGTTGTCTGTTGCCAGGGGTTGTGTATTAGGAAGTGTTGCCACTTATGAATATCCCATTGCAAATGGGCACACTGTCCACCATTGCAATGTTAGTTGTGTGATCATTCCTTGCTTTCAAAGAAAGATCTTTTTTAAGTGATTTATTGCGACTTTGATTACATTTCACACTTGAAGTAGTTCAGGTTGGCACAGTTATGGATAGAATAAGCTGTGACCAACACCCAGTTTATTTAAAAGAGTACAGTAGTACAATTATCCTTTTGCACTCAACCACTATTTAGCCTGTCATTTGAAATATATAAAAACCAAAGTATCTCAACAAGTTAGGCCTCTGAAGAAATAGCGTTGTGCTTCTGTGTGCCTGCCTGTGTGCATATCAAGTCAGCATATATAATGACTGACCTGGGTAAGCTTCTGTCATCTTCCGCTGGTCTGTGGTTGCAGAACACACACTCAAAGAACCTTGTCCTTCCCTAGCTGTTGAAATTCTATCAGCTGTCTGCACCTCCCACACGCTCTGCAGTAGCTGTAGAAGGCAGCTTCATTGGTTGTGGTGGTGGGGGGTTGAGGTAAGTATGTGTGTGAAATGGGAGGTGGTACAGGAAGAGGCACCTGCTTGTGACGGGCGGTTGGTTTGCAACAGCTGCTTTGCTGCATACATGAAAGGCAGTACTGATGGGTAATTAATGGTACCAAATTATCCCCAGACATTTCTGACCTAGCTATTAGCTGCTTTCTCAAGTGCGTTTTGTGACACTAGATGGGCATTAATTCCAGTCTAAATTCTACAAGCATGTATCACTGATGCTGACATGGATGATAAAAGGAGATTTGCTGGAGGAAAATACTGTCAGGTCATCTCAGACTAAACATTGTTAATTTGTGTCATACATGTCAGTATTAAATGTTTTCTCCTCTCTGTTTTTGGAAAGGTACACTATTTAACGGACATGCTGTAGCTCACAGTGAGGCTCATTGGAACCAGCTTGGATCCAGTGGAGTTTCCTGTTACCCTCCGGGCTCTGCCATGGACTTCTTTAATGACCCCAGCCTCTTTGTTGGAGGTTTGGAAGGGCTGGAGGAGGATGGCTTCCCCTCAGCTCCATCACTTGTGGATGAGCTAAATCTCACTGCTGACTTTGAGCCCCTCCAAGTGGAGCCTCTAGACCCAGTGAAGCACCAGGACATGATGCCACCAGTTCCTACCCAACAAGCCATGCCCGCGTACAGTCAGCAGATGGGTCATTACATTGGCATTAAGGCACAGAATCCAATGAGTCAAGCATTTTCTGGTTCTGGGGCCACAGGTAACGGAGGAGGTGGCGGCGGCATGATTGCAGACCCACATGGCCAGTATCATAATGCTGCCAGAAGCCAAGTACCTCAATCTAATGGGCTGTTCTGTATCAGCAGCAGTCCCATGTGGGGCAACCAAGACCAGAATGGAAAAATGTACCACCCATTAACTCAACAGCAGCAACAGCTTTGTCATCAGCAGCAACAGCAACTGCACAACCAGCAACTCCATGTCAGACAACAACAAACACAGCAGCAGCAACACCACCCATGTCATCAACAACAGGAGCAACAGCAGCACAGAATGCAGCAGCAGCAACAGCTGCAACAACAGCAAAGTCATCAGCAACAGCTGTTGAACCAGCACCAACAAATCAACACCCATGCAATGTCCCTACAGCAGCAACATTTTCCTTTTCACCAAGGAGGTCAATCTCATAGTCAGCAGCAGGTTCACCACGCCCAGCAGCAGGCTCAGCACCAAACTGCTGTAGGAGGACCAAGGTTTCATCCAAGGGCTATGCCAAGTAAGTCTTACATGGAGGGTCAAAACGCTTCTCTGAGTGGAACTTGCTTGCAACCTCAGCAGCTGCAGGGAAGCTACCAATTTACAAGGGGAGGCCTAGGACCAGAAGACCCTAACCTGCCATTCCCCATGCATTCATCATCCAGGGTTCAGTCCCTGCCCACTGCTTACCAGGCTGCTCAGTACCCTGCCTACCCTGGAGAGCCAGACATACCCAGTCTCAGTCAGCAGTCTTTGTCCACAGACTCAGTGTCTATGGCCACCACCACCCCCCCCTGCCTCCCTCTCTACTACAGTGCCTGAGCTCTCAGGGACAGTATGTCCATTCCCATCAACTGCAGTTATGAGGACCCCAGTAAGCCTGGCAGAGGAATGTCCTTTCCGGGCTTTACGTTGCTCTGGAGAAACCCAGGGAAACTGCGGGTCATCTGAGATGTTTGGCGAGTCTATGATCTGCTACCCTAGCCTGGCCAGCCAGCTGCCCTCTGAGCAGCCTCAGAGCTGCGGGGCCATCAACACTAATGGATATCAAGCCTTGGGTGACAATCTCCTGCCACCACAGGCTCAGGATGGAGACTTGGAGGGCCTTGAGCCTCCTGACCTGCTGCCTGACCTACTGCCCCAGCTGGAGGCGGCTCTAAGCCAACAGGATGAATCCAACCATTCCTGGGCCGATTCCAGCCAGGAGAGGGGACGTAAGCACAAGAAACCACATGTTGAGTACGAGGAAGAAAAGGTAATCACTTGTTGTTTGGTTCTTATTAAGCATTTATTGCCCGTTTAAGCACACAAAAGAAAGTATAATTCAGCCACACTGTAGAAGAGCATCCCTCCTGGTGTAATACTGTTTCTGCCCTAGTCTGTATTTATGCCTATTCATCCTAAGCACGCTGTCCTTTACCCCAATGTTCTGCTTAGTGTAAATTGATAAGAGTAAAGTTAAAATGAATAACATCTCATATCTGCACATATCTGCTTTACTAAGGCAATCATTTCTTTGCTTTAAGAGAATATATGTGGTCTTCCCGGTGTAGCGTGGCATTGAATCTAGTCGCTTGTGTAATGTTTAACCAACTATCCCAGATACAAAATGTGCATGTTTGGTTGGAAACCTGCAATCAGTGGTGCAGAGGGGGAAGGTGAAGAGGCGGTACCTAAGGCCATCTGAAAGCCTTCTGAATATGATAATGGTCCGTCCAGCGCGGCCTGTCTATCTGCCCAGTGCGGCGACAGCAGGTCAGGCCTGATTAGGCTAAGAGTGGCAGGAGTGTCTTCAGGACTTAGCTGTAAGCATACTTAGGGCTATATCAAGATGTGGGTCAGGGCAGGCCAGAGGCACTCGCATACTGCCTCGCTGGAGTGTGGGGGAAGCTGCACACTGTTGTGGTAGCAGCCACAGTTTTTGTGTTACTGTGTGTGTGTGTGTGTGTGTGTGTGTGTGTGTGTGTGTGCGTGTGCATGTGAACATGTGAGAGAGCGTGCAGAAAGAAAAGAGTGTGGTGGAGGAGAGTGGTTAGCACTTGGGGGAGGGGGAGGGGGTTTCAGAGATGGAGAGAGCACTAGTTCATGGAAAAAGGAGAGGTTACGAAAGAAATGAAGGGACAGCGAGGAAGAGCATGAGAGGGGAAAGACAAGCAGAGGGGGAGGTTGGGAGAAAGCATTAGCTGGCTGTAACAGGCTGCAGGCGGTTCCTGGACCTCAGTTGGCTGGTAACGTAGCAGCATCCACACAGTCTCCTGGCCTACGGGGGACACATGACCAGCAGCATAAGCAACAGACACTTCATCATTGTTTGCACGCTTCCCATGAAAAGGACATACATTTCAACACATCCATGTATTCCTTTATTCCTGATGGGTTAGTTCCCCCCATAAAAACATGTAATACCAACAATTAAGCAAATTCAGTAGAGTGAAGCAGAAACAGATTATCTCAAACTAGAATCATGTAATGGGGGAAAAGTACACACTTTTGTTTTCCATGACCCACTCCTGACAGTCTTTCTAATTTCCACTGACATCACAGGAGTGTTGTTGCCATTATTTCCCCAAACCAACCTTTTCTGTAGCTTCACTTAATGTTCCCTTGTACACATGAATGATTACCATTTTGCAGTAACAGTTTCAGTGACTCATTTTAAAACTCTCCAAAAAGGTGTCTTCCTTCTGAAACCAAACCTATGCCCATGAGCAAAAACACGACCTATGTGCTGAGTGCTGCTGCTCTCCTCCAACAGGCAGCAGGTGACAACAAAATGTGTGGCTTGTGTGTATGAGCTCTGGTTAGTCAGACCATTTGCCCATCAGCAAAGGCCCTCAATTGAAATGGGGCCATGAACCACAGCCATGTGAACGAGCCTCTCCCTGTCTGTGTCAACATCCAGCCCTGTGTTGATGCTTACAGGCTGACTGTGCTATTCATGTGCACTGATGTGTGAAGAGCCTGCTGATAGTGTGTTTGCTGAACAGGCAAGGCATCAGGGGCTAGCTGGCCGCTCTTCACTCCCCCACAGTGAATGCGGCTAATTAGGATTTGGGATTGATGTGCTCCCAGGGTTCAAGAGGGAATAGTGGTCCCATGTGGTTCAAAATTCAAAAGTTAAATAGAGTTAAGAGAATGCAGATGTGTGTGTGTGTGGAATATCTAGCCTGTCCCGTGAATCGTTGCAGCATCATTTAAGGACCGCGAGGGGCTTTCTCTTTGGAAGCAGTTGCAACTTAAAGGCATCAAGCTCTAGTGAGACCCTTCTGAGCTGGTAATGCTTACTTTCTATTTGAGTCAGCAGACAGTCATAATGCCGGGGGAAGTCAGGACCTCAAGACTGACATCTGTTGGAACTCTGTGCATTTAAAGAGATGCAATATGTGTAGGTTGAAATAAACCAATGTGGGCGAGGTTGCAAATCAGTGACTGGGACTGTACACTATTATGGCGCATTTCCATTACAGCGCGGAGCTCGCTTTAAGCGTGCCGTGCCCGGCCCGTTTTTGGTTGCGTTTCCACTTGGCGTAGTACCGGCTAGCGGGTACTATTTCACAGTTTTTCTGGCCCCATAAAATCGAGGTTCTTTCCGGGCCAACAACCAGGCTGAGTCGGGCTGAGTATGCTAAACTAGAGAGAGAATCGCTGGTGAGGGGGCTACAACTACAACAAAATGAACATATTTGACCGTGATTTAATTGTAATACACGTTTCAAAATGATGCCGAAGTAACAACATACTGATACCGGTTAGTAAAAACCATGAATTAATGCTTTGACAAGTCTGCAGACAGACGGCAGGGGAAAAACCTTTTAAAATGCGTGTTTTCTGAATGGAGATCGGCTAAGCTAACGCAGTGTATGCTCCGACCGTCCACACTCACAACAACGGCCTATACAGACATAAATAAAGCAGCGACTGTATTCACCATGACACAGGCAGTCTGTGGTTTGTATTTGTTTAACTTCTGTCTAGTTTCTGAACAGATATGAGGAGCTGTGAGCTCTGAGTGCTAACAGCTAACGGCTGATGTTGTTTTTCTGTGGTTCTCATTGAAGATGACGTCACGGCTCCGCCTACACTGCGTTACTATAGATACTGCCCCAGCTACTAAACTGTAGTGGAAACGCAGCATAAAGTGTGCCAGTCCTAACAAGGCCGAGCGAAGCCCTGTAGTGGAAATGCGACATTAGATTAAAAGGATTTACGGTATCATGATTTATCTGCCTGGTCACTGTATGGTTTTAAATAGTTAATTCAGTATGGATTTGTCGTAAAACTATTTTCTGAATGGTCATTTCTAGAGGTGAATGGTCATCTGGGACATATTCTGAAAATGTCCACCTGCTGGAGACAAACAAAAGTGGGGATTTAGTCATACTGAGTCTCTGATATTAATATACATCTGGATAATGCCTAACATGCTACTATTGTTGATCATTATTATACAATTTAAAGTCAGGGGCTGGGTCACAGTTTTAAAATGGTGTGAAGGCAGCCCTTGCAATGGGACAGAGTGTGGGAAAACATGCTCAATGCCCAATAAAGCAGATGGCACAAGTTTGATGCCAAGTGGGGCTGATTGCCTTTTGCCCCACTGCTATTTGCTGTCTTCCTGTTACTGTTGTTGTCATTTTCTCGTAGTGCACAGAAGTTAATATACATTTTGTAGAAGATAGCAACTGTTGTCACCATGAACATGAAGAAAGACTTGAGACTTAACACCCAGTATATGTTTATTAACCAATATGTCAGTAAAAATAACTTCAGATATAACTGAGTTATTCTCCATGGTGTGTGTGGGCGATGGTCGAGAACAGACTTTCAGGTTCTGAACTATGTTGCTGACAGAATAACCAAACATTAACGTAACAGTTCAAAAAGGTGAAGTTGAGCAAACATAGCTACCTAAACGTACAGCACATTCAAACTGAGAATTGAGTCATTCATTTAGTGCAGGGTACTCAGATTCGCTTTGTAAAACTGTGTCCAAATGTCAAAATAGTAATATGTAAAATGGTTTAATTTCCTTTAATTTAGAGTTTGATTACTGTCTAAATGTGTTGTATTTCCAAATGGAGATGTGTGTCCTTCTTTCCTTCCTGACACATTTTGTATTCTTGATCACAATCTTAATGTGTCTTCCTTTGGATTGGATATAGCTATATATGGGTACAAATTACACTTATCCCCAAAAGCAACAAAGGAAACTGGTTTTGGAGATTTGTGGGGCAACAGCAGCAGATTTCAAAACACCCCTCCGATGAGTACTCACACCCTGGTATCAGCCCCACCTTTTTTCTAAAGAGCCCTCATTACAACATTAAGCTCACATGGGCCACTACAGTTCTAGCACACGACAAAAACCAGGTTAGACTGACGACCGCAATAACATGAATCATGTCAAATCAGTGTGAAATGTAAAAAAAGAGTTGCTATATTTCAGTGATTTGATGCTGCAGATAGATACATGTAAAAAAGAGACCAGGTACAATTAACAGATTTGTTTGTATGGGCTTCACAATGAATGAAAAGTTTATTAAAAAGTGCAATACAAAAATAGCAGGCTGCACACTATATTTGTTTAAGGCTAAATATTTGTTGAAATGCAATTTTGAAGTTAGTACCAAGATGATTGTGGAGCTGCACAGATATCCCAACCTACATCTTATTCTACAGATTAAAACACATATTTGCTTGGTACAGATCCAGTTTAAAATTCCAAATATGATCAAAATAAATTATTTTTCAATGCTAATGAAATGAGATGTATAATCAGCCAATCTCTCAGATATCGTATTGCAATTATTATATTTTTCCAAACCGTGCATTCCAAGTGTTAAGTATTTTTTGCTGTTGTTCTCTTGTAGAGCCAGATGTTTCATATGTGATTGCATATCTGCCTTACAGCATTTCACTGTGTTCAGGTACATTTGTACATTCAGATATTTTAATGATTGCTGATTTTTTGCCCCAATATATCACATTTAAAAAACCTAGGGGTCCAAATGGCTCCTTCGCTGTATAGAAAATAAACAGAGATGGAAGTGGAGAATGATGGATACTGATGGCCTGTCTTCTTTAGCCACCACAGGCCCTCCAGCAGTGACACTGAGCAGGTGCCTCCCCCTGCCTGCCTGCTGTGCTGCTTTAAGATGTATTATCTGACCCTCTCTACCCTGCCTTGGCCTCCCTGCTGTAGCGCGAGTAAGCAATTTAGGATATCTGAGTGGTTTCCCAACCGGTGGTGGTGGC